AAAAGCGCCATCGTAGTTAATCAGAGATTAAAGGCTCTTCTTCCAAGAACATAGCGTATCTGATCAAGTGATTTCTTGTTTGCTATTTGGCTATGGATTGCGTGATATGTTGTTTCAAGGCAACACTTGTTGGTATAATTGGCCTTGAGGGGGTTATACCGTAGCCAAACGAAGGTGAATGGCCATTACAGTCAAGCATTTAATCCAACTGTTGTTAGCATTAATTTATATAAGGTTTTATCTAGGGAGGCGAAGGTGCAATACCAAAATAGTATTCAAGCATCTGGCCCAATACATGATAACAGCGATTTTAAAGGTGGCTTTACCATAGCGAAGCCAAAATGTAAAGGCTTGGTGTTTAAATAGCATATTCGGTTTCTCATTTCCATTATCATTTTGAATTGGTTTTACAAGCTCATCGTCTATCAATCCATGACAACTGGGAAAGAATTGTACCTGTGGAATACATCCACTATGATCTGCATTCCGACAGTTCGTCCAGTTACCAGATTTAGATATAAACTATATGTACACTGGATTAGATGTACGATACCGATTTATACTGTAAGAAGATATGGACTTCAGATACGCTACTAGTACTATAAGATTCATACTATATAAGATATAGGCTATAGATGGCACCACGGACATGAATGGCGCTATAGATTTATACTTGTATTCCGACATTGACTACGGATGTTTACCATAACTGGATAGGCACCAAGATTAATGCAATATGAGCTTGTTGCTTCAGATGTGCACTTTATGGTCCACGCTATAAGACACATGCTTATATCCGTGATACTAGCTACAGATACTTTATGTACTACAGATCACTAATCTAAAATATATATACTGGAAAACTATGAAAAAAAGTAGACAAGCCAATCGTATCCTTTAAAAGTTTGATAGTATTGAAAGCCAGAACAAAGGTGGGCATAACCACCGGCGAAGCCGGCAATGGGGAGGGGGTTTGGTGGAGGGGCTTGGCCTCTCCACCAAGAACATAACAATGCATCTAACTTAGCACTTGATGACATTGATTTATAGGGAAGGTTTACCTTAGCGAAGCAAAGGTGTAAAGAATCTAATCAAATATTAGGTAGTATTGAGATATAGGGGGGGGTATACCGTAGCAAATCAAAAGTGCAAGGCCAAGGTAGTTATGCGTCTAATCCAACACTTGGTAAACATTGATCTATATGAGGGCTTGATTGTAGCGAAGAGAATATGCAAAACCATAGTATATAGTAGTAAGCAGCAATTTCAAGTTTTTATTTCAATTGTTAATAAGCTTATTGCCAGCAACATAACACATCAAAATTTGCATGAATTAGCTTTGACAAAATCAATATGCCTCGTATTCGAATTAAAAATTGCACAGGCTGCGCAACTACCCTTCCGGAAAATTTCAGCAACCCAAGATGTAATTCATGAAGTGTAAATAAAAGCCATAAAGCAAAAATACAGCCAAGTTTGACAACTTTCTGGCCTTCGTATCTTGACATGTAGACCTTTTTGAGTCACCGGAATAATGCCAAACAATTGTGTTTGAGTAGTAGTAATTTCCTGGCGCCTTTGCTCAATTTTTTAAAGACCCAAAAAACATGGTCAGAAATCGACCAAAAAGCATGAGGAATACCTCATGATTTTCTCTGAAAATCAAACAATCGCATCTTTCACCTTGAAAATGAAGACTTTTACTATGGTACATAATAAATCAAAATGTTTCTCTCAACCCAAAGCAACTTTTGAAACCATTTTTATGAGGTCTTTATATGCAAAATTTCGACATTTTGGCCAAAAACCTTGTTTCAGATTTTTTGGAATTGCTCATTAAATTCAGTCAAAACATCTATTTTACTTGGCATCGTTGGAAGCGCCTTGAAAAGTACTCCTAGAGTGTATTAGGAAGCGTAGGATGATCATTAGAGATTATATAGTCGAATGTCATAAAATAGATGAAAGAAGTCGAAAAAAGCCAAAATCTGTGCAATCTTGAACAGAAAAAAATAATCTGAGTGTGAATCAATTTTGGCGGCGGCATTGCTGCTGGCTGACCAAAATTCCTTTCTGTTAATGGCAATGATGATTGCGATGCTGATTAATTGGGGATCATGAATTTGAAAGAACAATCGATTAGCTTGAATCCTTTTTTATTTGGTTGTTTTGCGAGTTTTTCCCTATATAGGTGTTGTTAAGCACAAAGAATAAAAGGATTATTATTTGTAGCTTATAAAAAATGTTCAATATTATAAAAACAAGAAAAGACTTATTTGAATAAGATCAGACACAAAAACTAAAGATTTATTGATGAAGACAAGAGTTATTCTATTTATACTAAGTTCTGAATGCCAAAGTAGCAATTTATCTTGTACAACGCTTATCACATCTGGTGAACCTCAGTATTTAGATAGCTGAGATGCACTTCACTTATCATAGCTTGTCCATGTTGTTGCACAACACAGACATATCTACCCATCAAGAATACCTTAATCTTTATAGACAGTTGTAGCCCTTCTGGCACAACAGGTGTCTTTTGCAATGATAACCTCTCAAAAAAATTGCTGTAGATTTCATAAAAGTCCTGTGTTTACGCATGGCCAGCTCTGTGTCGCCATCTCAAGAGCAGCATCCGCGAATGGTATCACAGTTCTGTCGCCAGAAAATGCAACTCGGACGGAGGATGTAGTAAACCAGAAGTCTTATAATAATATAACGTAAATGCTTCATAAAAAATATTGATTTGTACCTCCAAATTTCTGACGTTTAAATCAGGCTTCATGCCTAATATAGTCATTGTTTAAAATGTACTTTTATAGCAGAGTTTTACTATCTCTTCTGATTTGAAACGTCTTCGGTGAGAGCCCGCAGGGCGACGCCGTCATCGAGCGTAGCGAGATAGATCCGCTAGTACTTTATATACGACAGACTTGTAGTATATATGAGACATGCTGTAGACATGCATACGATATTCTATAGACATGCCATATATCCAGATACATGCTAAAGATGTATGCTCAGAGATATACGCCCAGATGTGTACTATTGATATAGACTAAGGAGACTGTACCTATCGGATACATGCTACTAGATCGATATTAATTATCATTAAAGAAAGGATAGATCAGGATAGATCAGGGTACTTTGGATGAGAGTCTAATTATTCATCCAGGCAAAGCTATATCATGATTAGCTTGCTGGAGTTGTCTTTTAGCATGATTAGACATTAGTTGATCTGAGTTGACTTATTTGTTATTCTAATTAATAGAACTTTTATCCATTGTTATAGTATATAAGAAGGATCATCTACCTGGCCAGTAGAGAGACTTCAGTTTACTTTACACCTGTCAGTTTGATAATAAAACATACCTTTATCAAGTTGACATTACTGTTTTTTTATTCTTTTTTTTCCGTGAATTTTAGTCTATCAAGCCTCAAATTCCACACTGACAACACTCATCGATGCTGTTGACGAGCCAAGCACTTTATGGTCTGCTATTTTTTGAAAGTAGATCAACTGATAGCTAAGCATACCGCTCTCCTTGGGCGAGAAAGCAATCCGCTTCGTCTCTGACACTTGTTTCCGTAAGAGGCGGCCGTCAGAAGGGGGAAGCGGCTTCGATTTGCAGATCCTTCCATCGACTGAAAGCTAAAGACGTGAGGCAGCTATCCGACGACATGTGGGTCAAACATGTATTTTACTGAAGTTAGTCGTTGATCTTCTCGCTTTTATTATACCGTTTACCGACGCATATAAATGTATAAAATTTTGGCTCACAGATATTTAAAAATCTCGATGTTTTCATACGAGAGCATTTTTCTTTGAGAAGGTCAAGGTGCTCACTTGAAAGCATCAAATAGGATTCTACATAAAGACATCTATGTTCTCGAGAACACTTGCTGGGTCGTAGTGCTATATCAACAGCCGATATGGCTATGATGGCGATCTGTCAATCGAGTTAATAAAGCTGCTTCTGCCATACCCCAAATTTAATGAAGGCTAATTCTCATTGTAGCATTTTTTTTTAATAAATAAATCTTAATCAATATTGCACGGTTTGAACAGCAAGAAACAAAAAATAGAGTCAATTGTTACCATATTGTAGACTACTACCGGATCTAATAGTACCAGTAGCCATGTATTTTGCAGATTAACAAATGTCATAGAGATTATAAACAATCAGACCCATTATATACACCATATAAATTACAGATTCATGATGTCAAATCCGCTCAAACTCATTTAGTCATGCTCAGATCCAACATAACTGAAAGTATCTAGTCCAACTTTATTTAGACTTACCGACGACATATCTAATATTTGTTAATAATTTGAAAGTAGCAATTTATTAAGGTGATTGAGTATAAATAATGTAGCTGCAACAACAACGTAAACATCGCTTTGCTAAAGTAGTAGCTAATTTATCAGAAATAAATTATTTATAAAAAAAAAGAGTATGAAATTAATCAGGTAAAGAATATTGTTTATTACATTGAAAATTAGAGGGTTTATATACTATTCGAATTGAGGGATTTGATGTGAGGATAAGGCATTAGATGGGTTGATTTGGGTGATAGGAGAATAGATCCAATCTATTATCCTGAACATGCCATCATATAGATCGTAACTGAATCCTGTTTCATGTCAAAGTTTATGATCTGATGTGACCGGTGCTTGAACTGCTTGTTTCCACGCATTTGGAGATCCGGTTTAGAAATGATACATCACTACCCCACACCAGCTTGGAGACCCTAGGTCGATAGCGAAACCATAAGATAGCACCTCTTGATTAGTGCTTGTGATGTAAGTGATAAACCGTGAAAAAAAAAAGAAAAGAAAAAAATGTATGTTCCCTATGCTTTCATACGAAGTTGCTGCATGATGGAATCGTTGATTCGCCAGTAAAAACCTCTATACATTGAAAACCAAACATGCCAATTGGAAAAAATACCAGTGTAATTTACAAGGGAAAAAGGCAGAATCTATTGACAAACATCTATAAAGATGATGGTTGTCTATTCTCAATCAACCGCGCATGTCTCTTTGTAGATCTCTCTTCACGCGTTGCAACCGATCTTTTGTTGATTGATTTAGGTACTCTTTGCCTTTTACCAGAGCTCTTTTCAGGTGCTCCTACTCTCGCCCAGTACTGTTTGATAGGTTGTCTTGAATCAAACAACTCTGGAGTTTCCCATGAATCATAACTACAATCGTAATCCTTCCAAGTAACGAGATATTGATAGTTAGGCGCTTTACCCTTATGTTTGAGGATAGCCTCAACTTCATAACGTTTATCAGCAGGTTCTGGAGGAGGTGAATTCTCGTTCATCAATTTAATGTGAGATGTAGGAACATCTCTTGATAAGAATGTATCGGTTTCATCTTTTAGAATGTAACTGCCATTCTTTGTATAACCATGAATATAGAACACGCCCTCGTATTTAGGGTCAGTTTTACTGTTCTTACTTTCTACATTCTTAATCATGACAGAAGCTCCTATGGGGAATGGGTTCTTTAGAATTTTGTGTCGCTTCATAAAATAAGCATTGTCAGCTTTCTGTGATTCGACAATCTGCTCCTTGATTGCAGGTACAAGAATTTTGTCAATTCTCTTGATCTTGTCTTTCAAGGCCTTGGCATTTAATGTTTGTTCTGGAAGACTCATTTCAACATCAGAATAGTCTTTTAATTCATTAGGAAGCCTGGCAAACATGACAACAAATGGTTTCATGCCGTGTAGCCTTGATTTATGTAAATTTAAGCTATAGTCTGTGCCATCAAGATACAAATCCCAATTTTCGGCACATCCATCCAGCATGTTAATGACGATGGTCTTTGAGCTCTTGACCGCGGCTTCACAAGCGCTGTTGCCTAACAGGCACCATGGAAGTGAAAGCCTTTGCTCTATCTTTGCATTGGCAGCAATGCTCTCTAGTAATTGAGAACTGAACTCCTTACCTTTATCATGAGAAAGGATTTTTGGGTAACCAAAAAGACTAAAAATAGAGACAATTTCTTTAGCAACTGTTGTTGCAGTTTTGTTTGGAAACGCCCGTAATACAATGAATCTTGAGAATAGATCCATTGCTACCAAGATAAAGTTGTTACCTCTAGGAGTAGTAACATCAAATGTGCCTAGGTCAAAAGCCCAATGATCTCCAACAGAATCCGCAGTATGATTCTTTGATGGATGATATACATGTCTTCCTATGTTAAATATCCTGCATTTGCTACAGTTCTTGACATATCGTTCAATATCTTTTCTGAGCCCTTTCCAATGCATTTGGTAATCTTCATGTATAACCTGCTCCATAGCAGTGATTCCATAGTGTCCTAAAAGGTGAGATTTTTCTAATAGTTCTTGCTTTTGTTCTTCACTTTTAGGTACTTCATAAATGTCCAAATGTGATGCATAAATGCACAATTCTTTATTGTCCTTGCTGTCAGAATTTGCAGTTTCTGTGAGTGCACTGCTTACTGTGTTACTGTTTGTATTTTCCTTATTAGCATTATTCTCAGTATCATTAATTTTGGTACCCTGAGTACTCTGGTTGAAAGGCTGTAAAATAATGTCATTTGCTTTAATACCCTTCTTTTGCTTCTTAGCTTCATGAAGGTCTTTATCATTTGTAGGCTCGATTGGATCTAATATCCGTTTAATAACAGTAGCTCTTCTAGCGAGAGAACCACACCCCTCCAGCTTCTTTGTACCAGGTACAAAGATGCGAGAAAGCCGATCTGCTAGAATATTGTCCATACCCATACAGTATGTGATATCAAAGTGAAATTCAAAAATTGTATCATAAAAGTTCTCAATCATACGAGTAAGTTTCTCTTGAGAATGTAGGTACAATAGACCACGATTATCCAAGAATAAATGAAACTTTTCACCCCGTAACCATTGGCGAAACTTATTAAAAGCATAAACCACTGCCAAAAGCTCACGCTTGGATGACCCATAGCGTTGCTCACTGGCAGATAGTTTATGGGCGATGAAGCCATTATAGTAAATACGCTTTTTGATAACTTGATATAAACAGGCACCAATGCCATATGAACTAGCATTAGCGACAAGGCAAAATGGATAGGCTAAATTAGGTGCTGGAATGATAGGGTTACTAACAAGCAATTGTTGAATGTTGGTCATGGCAGTTGTATGATCCTCTGTCCATTCCTTGTCAATATCTGGAGTATTTTTAATGGCATCCAATGGTGCGGTTAAAGTAGACAAACGAGGTAGATTGCTACTAAAGTAATTTACCAATCCTAACCGAGATTGAAGTTCTTTACTGTTAGCGACCTTTGGATCCCAATCTAAAATATTGCTTACTTTACGAGAATCAAAGGCCAACCTTTTCTCGGATAGGCAAAAGCCTAATTGTTGTGCCAGAAGGGCTACAACTGTCTATAAAGATTAAGGTATTCTTGATGGGTAGATATGTCTGTGTTGTGCAACAACATGGACAAGCTATGATAAGTGAAGTGCATCTCAGCTATCTAAATACTGAGGTTCACCAGATGTGATAAGCGTTGTACAAGATAAATTGCTACTTTGGCATTCAGAACTTAGTATAAATAGAATAACTCTTGTCTTCATCAATAAATCTTTAGTTTTTGTGTCTGATCTTATTCAAATAAGTCTTTTCTTGTTTTTATAATATCGAACATTTTTTATAAGCTACAAATAATAATCCTTTTATTCTTTGTGCTTAACACTAATATATTAATGCTACGCTGAGCAAAATGAGTCTTTGCGTGATTTATCTTGAGATTAGCCTTTTTTAACCAATCAATAACTATTTTGACGTATTTTAAATGTGTTTCCATGTCTGCTTCTGTGTACACCGTGTGCACCGTGATATCGTCTATAAAATTGGTGGTGACAGAGCTTAGATCAGAGAACAAATTAGTCAGATACCTTTGTACAAATGAGCTAATTGGTAGTAATCCCATGGGGGCAGTTCCTGAAGCTCCATTGCAGGCCAGTTGTTGGATCGATAAATGAAACATATTTGCGAGAAGCGCTTGCTAGCCTAAAACTATGGAAACATTGTGAAAGATTCAACACCGAAAATATAGCGTGTTCTGACATCTTTCTATGTAATGTGCTAATCAAAGGTAGTGGGAATCGATCGGATTTGTCTGGATCTAATGCAGCATTGACAGCTCTGCAATCCACAACTACTCTATAAACACCAGGAGCATACTCACCAGTGCTAGTCTTTTTACGTACACAGAATATAGGTGAGTTGTATGGCGTTCCAGGTGGTGCTGGTTGAATGAAACCATTCCTAATCCATGTAGCCATTTGTTCCTCAATAGTTGGTAAAAACTTTTCTTCCAGGGGCCATTGAGGTTTATACATTTTGTTTTCATGATCTTTCAATTTATGCAACTCTAGGGTACTACCTGGTATATTGCAATATGCCTTAGGATCAATGTTTTTGTTGGCCTCAATGTACGGTTCAATTTCTTTCATGAACTGAGCTCTCTCTGCCTCTGTACCATAAGGAGAATCATTAGGAGTGTAGGGATTTGGATCAATTGTAGGAATCTCAGGGTTATTATCATCATCCCAATCCATCGCCATGTTGGAGATTGTAATGCCAATTTGCATGATCAAATCCATACCAATTACCACATCAATGTTACTAAAGATATCAAAAATCTCAAATTTAGAGTAACATTGGCGAGAATTATATGTAATCTTAATGTCTTCTTCTGTAGAACCAATTCTATCAATAACAGTGTCCTTTTTACAAGCTTTAATGATGCCTTTAATGTCTTTATTTATTTTCACTTCTAATATTTTGGCTAACTTGGGGGGAGAGACAACTAAATGGGGAACCTGTGTCCAAAAGAAAGTAGGTTCGAACCTTGATGTCGTTGCCCTCTAAAGTAATTGGCAAAATAATAGAGTTTTTGTTTAGTAAATTGCGAGGTGGTTCATTCATGTATTGATACTCACAATCTTTAATGCTCATGGCTGCGAAGGTCATGTTCTGCTCGTCGGATTCCGTATCTGTATCCATATTGTCATCAGAGTTGTAATCAGTCTGCTGATTGGGCACAGGGACGATCGTCTTCTTGACGACCTTACTTCGAAATCTTGGTTGATTATTCTTCATCTTGCACACGGCCCTGTGCGCTGGAGTCCATCCTGACTCCTTGCAATCGTGACAAATACGAGTGTTGACCTCACCAAACTTCCTTTGTGCCTCATCGATTCGTTTTTTCATGCTGTCAGATGCTTTGCAATCCTTGGTGCGATGATTGTGGGCATTCGGATGATACATGCATCGTTTGGGTGAGTGACTGGTGACCTTGGTGTTTAGAATAACGAAATATAGACAGAGTAAATACAATTAGAACTGAATATATTTATTATGTTATTCCAAGATTGAATAGGGATCAAAACTAGTGTAGATATCAAAGGTATTTATAGTTATTTGACAGTGCCGCAGCAATAGGACCTTGATCTTGAATGCGGGATAATTGTATAAGCCTCGAACCAGTAACGAGGATGTGCTGCATCAGAACTCATGAACCACCAGTCAAGGATAAACAACAAAGATAATCCAGGATAGAGTGTTCTTCCTAATAGCTTTGACGGAAGAACATTTGTCGGAATTGAAACCCACTTCCAGGGACGAAAGGCCATAGGCTACCATTCTCCAGGAACCAGGATATAGATTAGCCATTTGATGGCACCACTCATGTTCCTTCGTGCTGCTTGAATAAAGACCTCTCACTTCTACTATGCATTTCAGCTCATTCTCAGATCCTCTTATGTAATATACGACGCCTAATACATTTGCCTCTCAGAGATGATCTATATCCTAAACACTTGCTAGCACTATTGTTATTCAAAATTGAGGCGGAGGATGTTACTGGAGTTGCTTTTTCACGTTCTCTTTCCCACTTGTCCTTAAACAGAGCGTTGTAGATAGCTGTTATCTTGTTGACCACCAAATCCACGGTGATCTCCTCCTTATTAGAATTGGTATTGAGAGAATACTTGGTGTAGTTCGCCAACTCTTCTGGAAGGGCCTTGATCAAATAACGAACGATACAATCCTCATCCTGGATTTCAGCCTGATTGCGCAATTGTTGGAATTTGTCCACAAATTGATTGAAAGCCTCTCCTTGTTGATACACTAGTCGCTCCAACTGCTCTCTTGCCGCATCTCTCATATCAATGCTTGATCGACCATACTTGTTGATAACTGCTGTACGGAATTCGGACCAAGTTAAACGGCCTTGTTCAGCAACCATGCTTGTATACCAACAAGCCATTTCAGTTGATAACTTGGCTGGTATTGTGGAATTTGAGGCTTGATAGACTAAAATTCACGGAAAAAAAAGTATAAAAAAAAACAGTAATGTCAACTTGATAAAGGTATGTTTTATTATCAAACTGACAGGTGTAAAGTAAACTGAAGTCTCTCTACTGGCCAGGTAGATGATCCTTCTTATATACTATAACAATGGATAAAAGTTCTATTAATTAGATTGACAAATAAGTCAACTCAGATCAACTAATGTCTAATCATGCTAAAAGACAACTCCAGCAAGCTAATCATGATTTAGCTCTGTCTGGATGAATAATTAGACTCTCATCCGAAGTACCCTGATCTATCCTTTCTATAAGGATAATTAATATCGATCTAGTATCATGTATTATCCGATGGGTACAGTCTCCTTAGTCTATATCAATAGTACATATCTGAGTGTATATCGCTGAGCATACATCTTTAGCATGTATCTGGATATATGGCATGTCTATAGCATGTCTCATATATTGCACAAGTCTGTAGTACATAAGGTATCTGTAGCTAGTATCACGGATATAAGCATGTGTTTTATAGCGTGGATCATAAAGTGCACATCTGAAGCAACAAGCTCATATTGCATTAATCTTGGTGCCTATCCAGATATAGTCAACATCTGTAGTCAATGTCGGAATACAAGTATAAGTCTATAGCGTCATCCATGTCCGTGGTGCCATCTATAGCCTATATCTTATATAGTATGAACCTTATAGTACTAGTAGCGTATCTGAAGTCCATATCTTCTTACAGTATAAATCGGTATCGTACATCTAATCCAGTGTACATATAGTTTATATCTAAATCTGGTAACTGGACGAACTGTCGGAATGCAGATCATAGTGGATGTATTCCACAGGTACAATTCTTTCCCAGTTGTCATGGATTGATAGACGATGAGCTTGTAAAACCAATTCAAAATGATAATGGAAATGAGAAACCGAATATGCTATTTAAACACCAAGCCTTTACATTTTGGCTTCGCTACGGTAAAACCACCTTTAAAATCGCTGTTATCATGTATTGGGCCAGATGCTTGAATACTATTTTGGTATTGCACCTTCGCCTCCCTAGATAAAACCTTATATAAATTAATGCTAACAACAGTTGGATTAAATGCTTGACTGTAATGGCCATTCACCTTCGTTTGACTACGGTATAACCCCCTCAAGGTCAATGATACCAACAAGTGTTGCCTTGAAACAACATATCACGCAATCCATAGCCAAATAGCAAACAAGAAATCACTTGATCAGATACGCTATGTTCTTGGAAGAAGAGCCTTTAATCTCTGATTAACTACGATGGCGCTTTTGTGTTCATATTTTCCAGTATCCGATATATGAAACCTCCGTGGTGCTATACCATACCATGGCCTAGAGCTTACCTTGATAGTAGTTGAATGCACGTTTATACAGTACAACTCCAAAAGAATTCACTCTGAATTTGCTAGCCAGCAACCAGCAATACTCATATTACCGGAATAGTTTAAAGAACCTTCTGCCATTACATTTTAACTAAATTATTTTCCGTTATTGGGAATAGTCAATTCGATCAAATCAATTTCAAACTTTTCAATTCATTACATTCTTACCCATGAAAATGTGATATATTTAAAAGAAACCACAATTTGGCAATACTAAGATTTTCTCACCATATATAAGAATTCAATGTTCGTTAAATGTCAGACGTGAGACCATCAGCGTCTTTATATAAAGAAGTGTGGCCCAGACGTGAGCTTTCAGCGTCAGTATAAAAGAAGCAAGCTCCCCCCCCTTTTTTTTTTTCATTGTCAGGTGTCAGGTACACACAGACTTTGTGTGTAACTTTTTTTAATTTAGTATAAATATCAACTTAGTTTGCAAAACAATAAAGATCATCTTATATCTCAATTCTATTCTTTTATATACATTTATCTAAGTCTACTCTAAAACTATACCTATACACACGACACAGGTGCACACAGACTTTGTTAGTAACTTTTATAGTTAATATGAATATCAAAAATAATAAAGGTTATTTTTTTTTCTCACTTATACTGCTGAGACATATACATTTATCTAAATCTGTTACTTATACTCACAACACCATTAAATAAAAAAACACTTTGTAACATTCTATGCGGAAACTTTTTGATAACTTTACATTTATCTGCCAGTAACTTTTAAACGAATCAGCTCTAGTACACATTCAAAATAACATTCATATATTACGAACTGTTCAACAACGCGATGGCATAGTAAAAGCGAATATAGTACCACAAAGTTTCGAGAACCTAATTCCACTACAGTAGCAGTTTATGAAGATTATTATCTGCAGTCTGATTGGATTATTTTGTATATTCCACACGGTCATCAAGCGATTGAGAAACAGTATGTAATGAATATTGTGGCAAACGTTGTATCGTATAGATAGTATTAAAAGACAATTTTTCATGTATGTTATCTTTTTACTATCTCATGCCGTGCAATAGATAGCATCCTATTAATAAAATTAAACAGTATGGGCCCGCTTCTGCAACAAAGGCAACATAATAATGTGTGCTACTCTTTGGGGTATTCAATGCATGCATCTTTAATAAACTCAGTAAATTTGTAAGCCATGTCTTTCTACGTGTTGTATTCACATATAATCCAGTCCAGCCTTTCATAGTATTGATCTATACGAGGGCTTGATTGTTGCGAAGCGAATATGCAAAATCGTAGTATCTAAGTAGTAAATTCGATTTCTCTCCTTCTTTATTAATAATGGATTGTTTAAAACCTACATTTATAGCTGTGTTTATTACTGTTAATGATTTGGAATGTCTACGGCGACAGCCCGCAGGGTGACACCGTCGTCAAGTGTAGTGATATTGCATCTAATTCAACATTTGTTGATATTAGTCCTGATCGAATATACCGTAGCCAAGCAAAGGTGTACAACTATAGTGTTCAAGCAGCAAATTCGGGTTCTCATTTGCATTGTTAATAATAAGCTTACCAGCAACATAGGGCATCAAAATTCGTATGAATTAGTCTTACAAAATCAATATGTCTCCTGTTGAAATTACAAGCTGCACAGGTTGCAGAACTGCCCTTCCAGACGGCTTTAGCTACTAAAGATGTGGTTCATGCCGTGTAAATAAAAGCCATAAAGCAAAATATAACCAAATTGGACAGTTTCCAAGCCTTCATATCTTGACATGTAGACATTTCTGAGCCACCGGAATAACGCCAAACAATTGCACTTGAGTAGTAGTAACTTTCCGACACCTTTGCTCAACTTTTTGAAAACCTAAAAAATATGGCCAAAAATCAACCAAAAAGCATGAGGTACCCCTCATAGTTTTTTTACGAAAATCAAAGGATCGCATTTTTCGCCTTGAAAATAAAGACTTTTACTATGGCATATATCAAATCAAAATGTTTCTCTCGATCCATAGCAACCTTTGAAACCACTGTTATGAGGCTTTCATATACAAAATATGGCTATTTTTGCTAAAAACCTCATTTCAGATTTTATTGAATTGCTCAATAGTTTCAATCAAAACACTTATTACAGTTAGCACCATCGGAAGCGCCTTGAAAAGTACTTCAAGAATGTATTAGGAAGCGTAGGGTGATCATCACAGTTCATATAGTCGAATACCAAAAGATACATTAAAGAAGTCGAAAAAAGGCGAAATCTGCCCAATCTTGAGCAGAAAAAAATAAGCTGAGGTTGAATTAATTTTGGCGGCGGCATTGCTGATGGCTGACCTAAATGCTTTTCTGTTGATGATAATGATGATTGCGATGTTGATTAAATGAGGATCATGGAATTGAAAGGGTAATTGCTTAACCGAAGCACTTTTTTGGGTGCTTTTGTTACAAGCGAGCCTTTTGCAATGTCAACATCTCAAAAAAAAAAGTCGCTGTAAATCTTACACAAGTCCTTTATTTACTTATGACCAGCTTTATGTCGCCATCTTATTAAGAGCATCAGCAGCAGTGAATGATATGACAATTCTATTATCAAAAAATGGCATTTGTGATATACGAATACTGCATAAAATTTGAATTTCTTTCGCATTGTCCCAAAAATAGGCTTTGTTTAATATCAGCGTAAGCAAAAAGGATACTAAGGGAGATACCTCCTCTCCTCCTCCTGGCTCTGATACAATCTTTCTGTTACTAACTAATAATAATAAATTGTTTAAAATCTACTTGATATACCAAAATGTTATAATGTCTGATTTAAAACGGCTTCGATGAGAGCCCGCAGGGCGACGCCGACATTGAGCGTAGCGAGATGAATGGGCAAGTAATAAATACTGGAAGCCTTGAACATAAAAGCGTCGTAGTAGCAAATTAGAGACTGCAAGCCCTTGTCCCAAGAACACACTGCATCTAATTTTAATAATGTTATACCTGCTATACTTAGCTGTGGATTAAGTGATTTGTGGTGTCAAGGCAACATTTGCTAACCTTGACCTTAAACAGGTATAATAACCCTAAGGAAGCAAACGTGAAAAGCCATAATAAAGCAGTAAATTTGGTTTCTTATTTTCATTTGATGCATTTCACATCATAATCCATTATATTACACCTAATACAACCCATCAACATCCCATCGGTTTTTACATACACTACTAGACGCACATCAAACTACAGTCTACACGCACATCAAGACCCAACAAATAGTCAACTAGTAGGATGACTATTACTGAAACAATACCATTTAATTCAATGACATACAAGAGCGGTTACAATTACACTTAACTGTAGACTATCTACACATATCAATTACGACAATCTACTGGATCATCACACTTGTCTTTACACCTCAGGATTTGACATTATTCACAAAGATATAAATGGGACCACACAATTCATTCAGTAAAGGATCGTCTTAATTTTGCACAGAATGATAAACTGATAATTTACTGATACATTCATTTGTATGACTTTAGTTATCTAGCACCTTGTTGAATATATCAGCTTGTAGCTCATAAAATTTATATTTTTCAGCAAATTTATAAAGAAAACGTACATCTGGTACTTGAAACCCTTACATTATGATGGATCTAATGTAGAGCTATTGAATGGTCTTTGTTTTGTGCGAATCCGGTTATTATTTGTCGAGGTATGTTCAAAAAATGGTAGCATGCAAAATCATTGATTTTGCTTCAAAATCTGCCTGTGATAGCAAGCAAAAAATCTGGTGACCTTTTTTTGGTCAGGACAATATTGTCAATATTTCATGACAGAGTTATGCCAGAGCTTCAAGCAATAGCTCATTCGGTAGGATATGTTCTGGTCTACAATGATTAGTAATGCTTAACAATATGTTTTGATGAAAGATAGTAATTAATCTTTAGAAAGCAGTTAAAAAATTGCAAAAACAATTGTACCAAATATTTGGTGAACAATGTACACCAGAGACTTGATATAAATACCATTGTATTCTGCTTTGAATTCTCTACAAGTTTCATATAAGTTTGAAAGGGTGTTTACTATCAAGAATCAAACAGTTTTAGGTCGATAATAGATTTAGAAAACTCATGGACCATCATCCAGAACAATAAAGATTCAATCTCCGTTTGGCCTTCGCATGTGTACTGATGTATCATTTTCTAAACCGGATCTCCAAATGCGTAGAAACAAGCAGTTCAAGCACCGGTCACATCAGATCATAAACTTTGACATGAAACAGGATTCAGTTACGATCCATATCATGGCATGTTCAGGATAATGGATTGGATCTATTATCCTATCACCCAAATCAACCCATCTAATACCTTATCCTCACATCAAATCCCTCAATTCGAATAGTATATAAACCCTCTAATTTTCAATGTAATAAACAATATTCTTTACCTGATTAATTTCATACTCTTTTTTTTTATAAATAATTTATTTCTGATAAATTAGCTACTACTTTAGCAAAGCGATGTTTACGTTGTTGTTGCAGCTACATTATTTATACTCAATCACCTTAATAAATTGCTACTTTCAAATTATTAACAAATATTAGATATGTCGTCGGTAAGTCTAAATAAAGTTGGACTAGATACTTTCAGTTATGTTGGATCTGAGCATGACTAAATGAGTTTGAGCGGATTTGACATCATGAATCTGTAATTTATATGGTGTATATAATGGGTCTGATTGTTTATAATCTCTATGACATTTGTTAATCTGCAAAATACATGGCTACTGGTACTATTAGATCCGGTAGTAGTCTACAATATGGTAACAATTGACTCTATTTTTTGTTTCTTGCTGTTCAAACCGTGCAATATTGATTAAGATTTATTTATTAAAAAAAAATGCTACAATGAGAATTAGCCTTCATTAAATTTGGGGTATGGCAGAAGCAGCTTTATTAACTCGATTGACAGATCGCCATCATAGCCATATCGGCTGTTGATATAGCACTACGACCCAGCAAGTGTTCTCGAGAACATAGATGTCTTTATGTAGAATCCTATTTGATGCTTTCAAGTGAGCACCTTGACCTTCTCAAAGAAAAATGCTCTCGTATGAAAACATCGAGATTTTTAAATATCTGTGAGCCAAAATTTTATACATTTATATGCGTCGGTAAACGGTATAATAAAAGCGAGAAGATCAACGACTAACTTCAGTAAAATACATGTTTGACCCACATGTCGTCGGATAGCTGCCTCACGTCTTTAGCTTTCAGTCGATGGAAGGATCTGCAAATCGAAGCCGCTTCCCCCTTCTGACGGCCGCCTCTTACGGAAACAAGTGTCAGAGACGAAGCGGATTGCTTTCTCGCCCAAGGAGAGCGGTATGCTTAGCTATCAGTTGATCTACTTTCAAAAAATAGCAGACCATAAAGTGCTTGGCTCGTCAACAGCATCGATGAGTGTTGTCAGTGTGGAATTTGAGGCTTGATAGACTAAAATTCACGGAAAAAAAAGAATAAAAAAACAGTAATGTCAACTTGATAAAGGTATGTTTTATTATCAAACTGACAGGTGTAAAGTAAACTGAAGTCTCTCTACTGGCCAGGTAGATGATCCTTCTTATATACTATAACAATGGATAAAAGTTCTATTAATTAGAATAACAAATAAGTCAACTCAGATCAACTAATGTCTAATCATGCTAAAAGACAACTCCAGCAAGCTAATCATGATATAGCTTTGCCTGGATGAATAATTAGACTCTCATCCGAAGTACCCTGATCTATCCTTTCCATAAGGATAATTAATATCGATCTAGTAGCATGTATCCGATAGGTGCAGTCTTCTTTGTCTATATCAATAGTACATATCTGAGTGTATATCGCTGAGCATACATCTTTAGCATGTATCTGGATATATGGCATGTCTATAGCATATTGTATGCATGTCTATAGCATGTCTCATATATAGTACAAGTCTGTAGTACATAAAGTATCTGTAGCTAGTATCACGGATATAAGCATGTGTCTTATAGCGTGGATCATAAAGTGCACATCTGAAGCAACAAGCTCATATTGAATTAATCTTGGTGCTTGTCCAGATATGGTAAACATCCGTAGTCAATGTCGGAATACAAGTATAAGTCTATAGCGCCATTCATGTCCGTGGTACCATCTATAGCCTATGTCTTATAGAATATGAATCTTACTGTATAGTACTAGCGTATCTGAAGTCCATATCTTCTTATAGTATAAATCGATATCGCACATCTAATCCAGTGTACATACAGTTTATATCTAAATCTGGTAACTGGATGAACTGTCGGAATGCAGATCATAGTGGATGCATTCCACAGTCAGCTTAAATCATCAGCCTGTTCAGTTGCTTATGAAGAGTTGGGGTTTTCTCTTCTGGTGCATCATCTTCTGGGCCATCTGGCTCTTTTTATTTTGAGTAGTAAAGCACTCTTGTCCATTTCTCTTTGTGAATATACCAAACAGAATTCAGGGGTAGCCTTTCTATTTGAGTTTCGATACTAGGACGTATGTATAGGACTTGCTGAGAAAAAGAAAGTTTGCAATTAGGTTTGGGCGATTAAGTTCAAAGTATACAAGCAAAATGATGTTAATGTTATTATGCACAATAATATATTTTTAGTGGATCAAGCTATCATTAATATAGTTTATTAATCCAAAATATGTGTCCAAAAGTCGGGGATCATGCAGAAATAGAGATCGATTGCAGATCTGAAACGTTTTCTATACATTCTTGGGGACACGATGGTAGGATCCTTTTTTCCACCTCCCAACATGCCTGATTCCTTGACCCAGCTTTCGAGCTTTTTATCCCAAGTGAAGGTGCGGATGAAGTCTACAATATGCACATTTAGTACACACAAATCAACGCGTATACAATCTTACGCCACAGCTTACCGACAATGCCAACAATGATTTCGTTTGTGTCTTCATCAAATCCAACTAACAGAGAATAATCCATGACATCCAGTGACAGTAGAAATTGTGTATCATTGTATAACGAATCCGATAAATTGCATTTCGTATCGACTCGCATATAGAGTGGGTTCTTGCTGATGACTGCCATGATGAAAATTTGATTTAGAACAATGGTAAAAACGCTGGGTAAAGAAATGCTACACTTACCTTCAACCAGATTTTCATCTAAAAACACCTCTACATCCTTGCCTGTCTTTTCAGCATATCTGTTTCTCATGGATCCCTTCAAATCAAACACTTTCTTAACAGACGTGTCATAAAATAAGTTTTCCATGACCAGGATGTCCATCTTCATTGATTTTCCACTGACATTGTTGTAAAAGCCGATTCGATACAGACCGAAAATCTTGCATAAAACAGTAGGAATCTGTACGCCAACGGTTTTAGTATCTCAAAACGCTTTACAAATGCCAGGCGCTCTGTAACTTACTCCTTTGTCAAAAACCTCGTTAAACATATATAAAAAATACTTGTTCGCGGAGCCTAGGAATGCATCCATTTCATATTTCGAAATCTGTTTGATCAAGAACCGTTGATCTATCAAGACATGTGAGTTTGTCCGTTTTTTGCCATCTCGTTTTGTACTTTTATATACCGTTAGTCTTTAAAAAGATGGAACCTGATTTACCACCAGCCGTATCCCAAGGAGTGCATCTTGCGAGCGAAGAAATAAAGATTTCGTCACAGCCACAGCTCTTTCGTAGCATATCAAACTGTTCTGCAAAGTAGATCTTGCATGAAAAGCTAGTGGATCCGCCCTGAAAACCTATGTTGTCCCTTGTAAATGTACATTTTTCCTACTTGTGTCTTGAGCAACTTACTGAATCGCCATGGTTTTTCTCTTTCATCTGTCTCGGGAAACATTTCCGAGAAGAATGGCTTACTTTCCGTAGTTGCATCTGCAGATTTCTCCTTGTTGTTCGTGTTAAAAATCTCGGCCTTTGACATTCTCAACTCTTGTTTTCTTTGCAATTTCTCGTTGTAAAATGTACTGCCTAGCATGTAGGAGATGATACTACTTGGTTCGTCTTCTCTCACCAAGATGTTGGAGTCTGCAAATATATGCTCATTGGGAGAGCTATGTAGTCAAAATGTCAGAACATGGTTCGAGTGTTTTAGTCGACACGAGGCACTTACAATGGATACTCTAAAGGCGTCAAATTGCTGATACTCTTCTCTGCAAGAACGTAGGTAATGGCTTTCATAATAGAATTTCTCCCACTGGTATTTGTCGACCAATCTATGTAAAGATAATGAGTCAAAGCTCGCTTTTCATTCAAAGTTACACACCTAAACCAACGCTAGATGATTTGAGCAATACGGCTGCTTCCATCATGGCAGTAGACCCTTTCAACTCCAATCCTTCTTGCTTTTTATCCACCACCATACCACACTCCAAACTCAAAAAGGGCAACGTGTTTGTGGACAATTGTAGTTGGTGCTCGTTATGAAACTGCTCCAATTCAATGATACTGGGCACGATTTCACGGCCCAAGGATTCATCGTATTCATCTGTGCTTGTCAATGAGAATGTATTGTGCTGAAATGGAACCAATTCATCGTCCATGTCCTGTTCGTCTTGTTCATCGTCATTCGAGGTAGGTTTCACCACCAAAATACCTTCTTGGCAGGCAGATTCATCCATCAATGACACTGTACTACCGTCTCCTAAATCATCATCATCGAAACTAGCAGCAGAAGACGAGGAGGAAGATGAAGAAGAGGATACAGAAGAGCGGTCAATATCCATATCATCATCATCACCATCGTCCTCTGTCATTTCCTTGATCTTGGTATATGGTTCAAGTGATGCTTTACTCGGTAATCTTTGGCGCATGGTTCTTGTTGAGATCTTGCCATCGGATAGTTTTCGGTGATGTCTTGTGTATTGACTATTTGGATGATGAGGCGATGCAATAGGCACAGGCAAGTGAGATATATTGCTGTTGTTGTTGTATGCAAACTTGTGGTTGCTGCTGCCTTTGCTGTTACTATTCGCTGTAATACCCAAAGTGGCATTGACCGAATTTGCGCCAGGATACTGTAGTAAATGAGTTGCGCTTGTAGGAACTGGAATACGACCACCCACACGAAGTCTGCTGGAGGATGGCTGCTGTAGCAGGTTGTTTGAGGATCCGCCTACAATGGCCATGGTTCTTGATCTCGGTCTTGCAATAGATATATCTTGCATTTGCGCTTCCTTTGTAGTTGTAGTGATAGTAGTATCAGTAGAAGAAGACGCTGATGTGAATGATGACGAGGCCTTTGATTTGGACGTTGAAGCAGAAGCAGATGCAGCAGCAGTAGTAGTAGCAGCAGTGGCAGTAGCCCTTTGCGCCGCTTGTGCCGCAGCCAAGGCACTACTGACAGGGTGTGTGATATTCGCAGCGCCAAGTCTTCTCTCTGCCATTGGCATCTTGTTGTTGTTGAGTCCAGACATGAATCCATATCGATACGCAATGGAAGATCTTTCTGGCATTTTAGCAGTATAAGGAGAGCCACGATAAAACGCAGGTTTTTGTGGTGTTGGGCCATCTGCCGCCGCTGTTGTTGGTTGTGCGTTTGGATACGGAAATGCGTCTTGCTGCTGTGGCAGGGCTCCCATTTGTTGAGCAGAATTCTCCATGAAATGGTTCGATGACGACTCATAAAATTGAGATTTACGGTTTTTGTTCTTCTGAGCACTTTTATCCAGCAGTCTTTGAATGGGAGTCGCTTTCTGTTGTTGTATGGGGAGATAGTTTCCTGGTGATGGGGAGCTCTTTGATTTGCCTACCATGGGATCAGGCAATAAACCAGCCAATCGCTTATAGGCAGTAGAGGATAAGATGGGTAATGCAGCTGCCTGCCTTATCAATCGAGACTGACTTGAATCTTGAATCAGCGGTTTAGCGACCATGGAGAAAGACTCTGTCATGGGTGTCGAGGGTGGTGTGGTAGCTGAAGGTGGTGTATCTGCAGTTTGACTCGACTCCAGAATCCTAGAAGCCTCAAGATAGTTTTTACGCTTCTCCTCGTCTTTCTGCTGTTGCAATTTCTGCTGTTGTTCCTTGAGTATCTTGTCTTCGGCCTCCTTTTTCTTCTTGGGCGCATCCTTCATCAGTTCCAATGACAAACGACGAGCTACACTGGGGTCCAGGTCTCGTGTATCCTCCTCCAAGTCATCCACACTGGACATCTTTTGAGGAGAGGAAGGTTGTTTGCTGCGAATACTAAGGTCCTGATAGCTGTCTACGCTGTATTTTTTATTGAGCTTCTGCCGCTGCTGTTGTCCTTCTTTGTTGCTGCTGTTCATCTGTGTACTGCTATAGCTGTTGCCCGCCGCCATATCATGTTGACTCGTTGGGTCATCTTGCATAAACATCTGATCAAACCTTTTAAGCTCGTCGTGCCAAGGATAAGACTCTGTAGGCGATTCACCCAATCCAGGTTGATCCTTGAAGCTAAGATTGACAGCTTCATTGTCTTCCACAGAAGACGAGGTAACACTACCCGACACACCGTACGGCACCATGCAAGCTTCCTGATCCAATCCAACATCCAGCAGGGGTAAATCAGCAGCTTCAATAGCACGTTTTGTACGCAGATTTAAATTGGAGACAACGGGTGTATTGCTGCTACTGTTGTATAGACTCTCTGCGGGAAACATCTTGCGCAAATGGTTGGTTGTCAATCTTCTCAGCTCTCTCTCAGGTCGAACAAACCGTCTAGCAAAATCAATGTATTTTAGGTCCCAAGTTACTGCATGATTCTGAAGATCGGCCAGCACATTGTTGAGCTGCAGTGTATCCGTAGGTGCACTGGTAGCATACTCCATTTGCAGCTTTTGTAGCAGATTCTTTTTGTTCTTGAGCGCTTCTTGAGAGAGTTCCTGAAGGTATTCTTTGCAGAGATCCACCATGTTGGGTTGCACAATGTCGTACGAGAAGGCCTTATTTCTTTCAATTATGGAGTCAAAGAACTTGGCAATCTTGGATCGTGTGGAATCCAGTGAGGCATCTTTCAAAGCCATTTGTTGTTTGGAGCTGAACCGTAAGTGCAGTGGTGGAGGATTGACTTCGACTACTTGCACCATGGCATGCGTGAAATTGACAGACAAGTTTTGATAGCGAAATGAGATGGTGTGGTCGCGATAGAAGCCATGCGGACATCCCAGACCTGAGTCATGGCCGTCTTCCTCCTCACCAAAGTAGCCACTACCATCGGGCATTGCATGGTCCCCATGACCGTATAGAGGAATGGATTCAGACTGGTAAAACAAGAGCTCCAGGAACTTGCCAAACGAGTACCTCTGCAGCAGATCAGACATTGGTTTCCAGTTATGTGTAACATTACAAAAGTTGCAGTGCGTACAAATCAAGATGGGTATTCTGCGCAAGTACTCGTCACGGCTGATATCAATCTTCTCCTCCACTAGCTCATCCTCGCCGCCACTGTCGTCCTCCAAGAACACTTGCACCTTGATCTGTGCATTACCATGCGAATAGGTTCTGTCGTGGAAGATCATGAGCCCACCGCACATTTTAGAACTGCATTTTGTATACGCATCCTTGATGGAATTCAGAATGTATTGTCCCAGCGTACAGTCGCCCATGGGATTGTAATAGTCGTACGGATCCAGCATAGCCTTTTCACAAGGAAAGCTGTGATTATCCATGGGGTTGGTGGTACGACGCACAATGATTTGCTGGTGATGCACAGGTGTCAAGTACAGATGAATGTCGCCAATGTAGCGTTTGAACAGCAACCAGCATTGCAGATGAAGATCTTGGTAGTGACGGTATTCTAAGTCATGATCCAAGTAAGCGTCAAATGCCTTGAGATAATCATGCATCAACATGAGATCTGTCGGGATAGGGGGAATGACGGGCTTGTTGTTGTTGTTGTTGTTGTTGTTGCTCAGTGCTTGCTTTTCTGGATCAGCAGCAGCAGTAGGTAGAGGTGATGTTGGTGATGCTGCTGCACTCGAATTGTCTGCCAGTACGTTGCCTGTAATGTGAATGCCCAATCGCTCACGGATCAACCCAATCAGTTTTTTTTGTGATTCTCTCAATTTCAGCAAAATGTGAGGTACAGGGAGTGTCACACCGGGCGAGATAGACAAGGTGGTTGTCTGATATTTTTTCAAGACGAGGTTGATGGCTGTCAAACATATATCATCGTCTTCTACAATGACCGTTGCTTGCTGATATTGCTGTTGCGACTTCTTCTTGGCAGCATTGATGTCGACTGTATTAACCGTGATTTGAGATTCAGCAACAGAGAGTGCAGACACACTTTGCGTATCCATGGTAACGGGTTCTGATGAAGATCCTTCTTGATGATAGGAGGATACAGTGGTGGATCTGCCTCCTGTGGTTGATCTGATGGGATGCTGATGCAAAGTGGAAGAATCATCATCATCACCGCCCATGTCCATTATACCACCCTCGTCGAATCCAATGGCAGCAGCAGCATGGTTATTGCAGTAGTCCTCATACATGGTAGGTTGATTGTATCGACGCAATTCAATAAAATCCTTTCTCAATTGTGCCTCCAAATTGATATTATTCGCCACCTTGACCATGAAATTCATAATGTACTTGACCGTAGCTAACGTCTTGAGGCTGCCACCACGCAAGACAATAGTGGCACCTCGTTCCTTGGGACACTCATGAAACATGAGGAAGGTCTTGCGTCGATTAGGCAGATATTCATGCATCACTGTCAATGGCTCGAATAGACCGCATTTGCCAGGCACTATGGTTTTGGCATTCCACAACTCGTTCTTGTAATTGAACACTGTAGCATCCGCACATCGCGCAATGGCATCCAACTTTTGCTTTTTGATATTGTAAGCAACGACAATGTTGGCTTGATTCAGACGTTCAATGATGGTGCGAGGTGCATGAGATGCAATCAAGACAATATGGGGCTTGAGTCCAATAATCTCGGACACCAACGAATTCATGTGCTCCTTTTCCCATGCCAATAAGCGATCAAACTTGAGGTACTCTTGACGGGGTGTGTTTGTGTCTGGAAATCCAGTAATTGAAGCAGCTGAAGAGGATGCGTTGTTGTAAGGCGCATTATTGCTTGTTCCTCCTCCACTACTGCTGCCACCTCCACCAAACCCATCCACATCAAAATTCAAGATCAAAATAGATGGGTTTTTGATTTTACGCATCATGTGCTTGTGTGCTACACTCTTGGACAGGACGACACCACTGACCGAAAAACTGTCCTTGGGTAGACCTCCAGGCACCTTTTTTATCTTGACATAATGGTTCAAATTAAAGGTATCCCTGATCCGGATATGCGGTTGCACTTGATCTGCAATGACCAACAGCTGCTCCATCATGACCTGCTCCCAATCCTCCAATGGCAAACCACCTTCCTTGAGTAGATGTGTAATGATGTTGCGCATGAGGTAAATAAAGGATGGGTCCCATTGACGATGCGTTGCTACGGTCACAGGATGCGATGTGGATGCAGAGACGGAGAGTATCTGGGCCCGTAGTTGGTCCAAATCAGGCGCGTTGTTGGTAGTGGCGGTGCTCTTGGTATTCGTGGTAATAGTAGCTGTATGCGTCGTCGGCGTAGATGTGGAGGGCGTTAGGGGTTGGTAAAACGAGTTTCGATTGCTGTTGCTTGCAGGGCTCTCGTAGCCGCCTGTGCTGCTGTTATCGCTATGATGGTCTGTCGACGACATGGTAATCGGTGTGTTTCTCATTAGACTCTTGGTGCGCACTCGAATATGGCGTGTGGAAGAGGTAGAACTACCACTGTTGAGGTTGCTGTTGTTGCCACTGCCTCCATTCCCGCCACCATTGCTGCTACTACCGCTACTTATATTGCCTGTCAATCCATTACTGTTGGTTTCTGTCAGACTCAAGCGTCGACGCATGATGCTGTTGGATCGATGGTCATTGGAGGGTCTCATAAGCCAAGATGATGTCTTGTTGACCGTGCTTGTGCTGGTACTCAAGATAGGTTTCGGCACAGGTGAATCTATGTGGTAGTCCTCATAGGAAAAGTTGTTAAAGATGCCTGAGCTAGGTCTTTCTCCTGTGCCCCAGAAATTCAGTAGGTTGCGCGGATTGCGTCTTAGATCATCGTCCTCACCACCACCATTGCTGTTATTGCCGTTACCATTACTACCGTCGTAACAGTCTCCTTGTTGTTGGTGCTGGTGATGATGCTGAATCAGCATGTGCTGCTGCAATTGCTGCTGTTGCAAGTAAGTGAGATGATTGCTATTGCCAGCGTCATGATGTACTGGAGTGACAAGAAACGAGTTGCGTCTGAATGGCATCGGTGAGTTTATTTGCTGCTGTTGCTGTTGTTGCTGCCTCACACCCTCCAATGTAGCCAAACTCGTATCAATGCCCAATGAATTCATGGTACTCGTCCTTGATCTCGGCGTGGTTCTCAGAAACGTGTTGGTCAGTAACTTCTTGAACCCTATATCGGAATCACTGGCTGTATGATGAGACGATGTCGATTGCGAGAAATGAATATCCAACGGCCGCTGCATATCAAAGCTGTTGGTAGAACGATCAAATTCTAGTTCTTCATCACTACTATCATCATCACCGCTGGTAGGTATCAAGAAGGATGACTTTTGTAACTGCTGTTGTTGTGGTTGTAAAGACGACGACAATGATCCATCGACTACTACGGACGAGTAAGAGTAGCCATCGTGCAATGAAATGGTGTCGTCCGCTCGATAACCTTCCATAAATTTACTATAGCAATCGTTGCATACTCTAAGTGAATGACTTGTATGTATACTGTTACTGAGACATTTAGAGCAAAAGATTCTGCCTGTAAGATTATCATGTGAGTTTACTCGACTTGACTAAATGAAATAAGCTTTTTCTTACCACATGTTCGACAGTGATGCTTTCTTCGAAACAAATTGAACGGGGCATTGCAATTGTTGCACTCTTTGCACTGTTCATCTGGCATCCAGAAATCCTTGTTGCTGTCCACCGGTTCTCCCCCTCGCAATCGATTTAGAATACGGCTCAATGAGTTGGTGTTGGAAACAGAGAACGTCGTCATAACAGATTGTGTGTCGCTGTCAATAGACGATGTCTTGGTTAGGGGTATAATCATATGCGAAGGGATCCGCTGTTGCTGGTTTTGTTCCTCGTCAATGATGATGTGTTTAGAGTGTTGCTGCTTTGGCAGTGAAGCTGGCGTTGGTGTCTTTGCTGTGATGGTATGAGTCGATGCAGTGGCATTGGAGGCTGCTGTCGTTTTTTTCAAGTGAGGCGTAGGCGTTGCCTCTCTGTCATCTTCCTCTTTGGTGGTGGTCCTGGATAAAGTGCTCGCAGACGCATTGTTCGCATTAATATTTGCACTGGCAGCAGTAGTATTGGATTTGTGGGTATGTATATGTAACGGCGATGAGGCCATACTGGTATTTGTATCTGTCTTATTGCTGTTGCCGCCTGTCGACGTCGAAGCATGATGATATGGTGTAGTAGTAGTTGCTGCGACTACAGGGACAATGGTATCTGTAGCGGAAGATGAAGTATTGGATGGTGTCTTAGTGAGCTGTTGTTGCTGCTCTGCCAAATGTTGTTCAGGTACTACTTGATCTGTAATCATACCACTTTCATTTGAGAGTACAATCGATATCGTACGTGTTGAAGAAGATGGGGATGTGTACTGTTGCGTTGAGCCAGAGGAGACAGCCGTCTTGAATTTGGAGAATATCTTGGATATCAAACCTTCTTCATCTCCTTCTGGTATAAAGTTGAACGATGTCAAAGATGATGGATCATCTTCTAATCTACTACCACCAAGATTTTTTTCCATCTGCGTTATTATTTGTGTATAATAACAAGAAAGAAATGTGTAACTTTTATGCTGCTATCTTTTTTTTTTTTATTATTTAGAAATATTAAGGGGGATGGAAAAGAGGCGGCAGAGAGGGAGAGGAGGGTGCACAACTTTAAGTTTTGTATGTTGTGCAACCGATGTTAACCTTGCTGCTTTCTCGGATTGAAAAGAGCAATGGATCATAGACTAGATATGTTCGTGATGGCGATGGTGGATTGACGATATCGCAAAAGCATCCTGGCTAACCACTGACAGGTCTATTGTTTGAAATGAAACAATCTGATGGTATATATGCTATTCTGCGAGAAAAGTGCTCCGCATTAAAGGCTTTTTTGTGTGTGTGTGTGTGTTTATGGTACACACACATTTGGGTAGTAGTATAAATTAAAGAAGGTCCCCGCACGAGAGAGATTTTCTCTCTTTCTTTTCTTCTTTTTCTTCTTTGCAACTTACTACACACAAGCACAAACACACACACACACACACACACACACAACATGGCAACGTAATGTATCTCGGGAGTACACTCCAGAAGCAATGCTAAATGTATTGATATTATTCTGTTTAGTGAAGCACCCAAGACCACCCCCATCACTGTCTCTGAACTTGCCAAGCATGATGGTTCTGACCCTTCACTTCCCATCTATGTGGCCATCAAGGGCGATATCTTTGATGTTTCCAAGAACACTAGCTCTTATGGTCCTGGTGCAGGTTATAATGTTTTTGCAGGAAAGGATTCATCCAAGGTAGGTTATCCTTATGAGAGAGAAAGAGATAAGAGGGGTTAATCAGTCATCGGCAGGCACTTGGTAAATCCTCTTTAAAGCCTGAAGATTGTGTTGCTGATTACAGCGATCTCACTGAAAAGGAATTGGAGGTGTTGGATCAATGGCATGCCTTTTTCTCCAAGAGATACAATATTATTGGAAAGGTGGTTCCTGACAACTAAAAAAAAATCACTGTAATTTATCATATTTATTCACTCATTACAACATTCAACACATTCTCACACAATAAACGGGGCCATCACAGATGGTTTTGGGCGTGTATTGAATTTGTAAACAATGAAACTATCTGATCCTTTTGTTCTCTTTTTATCGCGCTTTTTGTTTTTGTCCCAGGGAAATATACAGGTTGAAAAAGTGTTCGCCAGTCAATTCGCCATGACTAATGCTAGATCTGATAAAGGAAACTAGCAGTTTGTGTAGCCATCGCCAGGGCCACATTTGAAAAATGACATGACATTTGGGATTTCTAAAAGAAAATTTATTGATAATGTGTTGAAAAATATTTCTATTCAAGAGCAAAATAAAGAGAACGAGAGAAAAATGAGTGACCTTTTAACTTCTTCAAATAAATATGATTGTTGCAAGAAGGCGAGGCGAGAGTCCAGTCTAATAACAAGAAGATGCTTTGGCCACCAATTGACTGTGATGAAGATGGAGAACATTTGTATGTGGGCTTACGCTGCCATAAATTATACGTCTACGTTGGATCTATCACTCAACTTGATGGATTCAGAACTCTCGTTTGTTATTGAAGGATACTAACAAATATCACAATGTACATGTTACAGAAGAAGCCATGCTCGAAAACATTGCCACTCAATTGAATAAAATACTAATAATGAATGTTGAGATTTCAGCTTTTGAGTGTTTATTGTTATATGAGTACCCTTGATAAGCAATTTGTAACTGTGGACTTGACTTTTCTATGATGCTCCACATTCCTGACAACTATAGCAATTCGTTCAAGGGTAGGTAGCATACTCGTATTGCCTCTTACTACTCGAAAATATGCAAAATACAGCTAAATTCAGGTGCATTTGCGCTGTGATTTCTCGTGCTAGAAGTTGTTTTGAACGGCCAGAAAAGCACCACACAATTGCTTTTATGTAGCATTTACTCTCTGACATATTTGCTCGACTTTTTGTTGATTAAAAAAAAAGCTCGCCCAAAATCGCCCAAAATCCATGAGGGGTACCTCATGATTTTCATCGAAAATCAAATGATCGCGTTTTTTACCCCAAAAATGAAGACTTTCACTATGACATACGAGCCTTTCAGCACTTCGGGTGGTTTCCTGACCTACGCTTCGCTTCGGTGGAAACCAACCTACGTTCAGGCGGCTCGCGCTGCCGCGGGCCTTTGGCTAATATCCCAAAATCAACATAGCTAAAATGTTAGAAGAAGAACCCTGATTGTTGATTGATATATAATCACTAATCATATGAGTGTTTACGCTTCGGATGGTTCTCACCGAAGCGTAGCGAAGGTAGAGAACCAACCTGCGCAGCGGCAGCTAGTACTATAGATTGCTCTTGCGTATTTTATCAAAATACTGCTACTTTCATTTTGACCCTCCACTTACACATAGTAGCCCTTCATATTATCTGTGGATCTGATTCTTATGTGATGTTCTACATCCATATACACGTAGTTACTTCATATACGGGCAAGCAGCATACTGGTATTCCCACTTTTTAGTCCTTAGTGTCCCTAATACAGCAAAAAATGAGTGCATTTGAGCTGAATTTTCTTGCGTTCAAGGCCGTTTTAGATCGTCAGAATAGCCCCAAATGGTTGCTTTCATCTGGCAGTTACTTTCTGACACTTTTGCTCGACTTTTTGGGGACCAAAAAAACATGGTCAAAAATCGACCAAAAAGCATGAGGTATCCCTCATGGTTTTCATCGAAAATCAAACGATCGCATTTTTCATCTTGATAATGGAGACTTTTACTATGGTATATCTTGAATCAAAATGTTTCTATCAATCCAAAGCAACCTCTGAAATTATCTTTGTGGGACTTTGATATATAAAATTTCGACATTTTGGCCATAAACCTCTTTTCATATCTTTACAAATCATTTAATAAGTGTATTCAAAACATCTATTTTACTTAGTACCATTGGAAGCGCCTTGAAAAGTACTCCAGGAAAGCTTAAGGAAGCATGGGGTGATTATCATACTTCACTTAGTCGAATCTGCAAAAATAGCTCGATCGAGTACAAAATTATCAAAATATGTCCAATCTGGAACAAACTATGATTCTGGATTTGAATTAATTTTGGCTTGTGGGGCCAGCTGACAAACTCATGCCCTTTTCATAAGGCAATACAGTAGTAAATGCTCTTGAAGCGTATAGAAAGTAGGTGGCAGGTCATAGCACTATCGTTTATGATGATATTTTATTGCCTTCTATATCGTTCATAATGATATTTTATTGCATTCTATATTTAATAACGTTAGTCTGGACATTGACAATGCATGGGTTGCATAAAATGTCTGCAGTAAGTAATGAAATCTCTGAGGCTCTGAGACGTCGCTCAAATAAAACATTGACAGCATTGAGCAGAGGAAAGAGGGTAGAAATTACAGTGGTTTTTGTTGATTGATTGTAAAATCATTATTCTCATATGAGCCAGGTCTGATAGATGCCTTGAAACTCAGGTTCCATATTAGGATTGTAAAGTGCAAAAGTACTGAACATTTATTATGTTATGATATGAGCCAGGTCTGATAGATGCCTTGAAACTCAGGTTCCATATTAGGATTGTAAAGTGCAAAAGTACTGAACATTTATTATGTTATGATATGAGCCAGGTCTGATAGATGCCTTGAAACTCAGGTTCCATATTAGGATTGTAAAGTGCAAAAGTACTGAACATTTATTATGTTATGATATGAGCCAGGTCTGATAGATGCCTTGAAACTCAGGTTCCATATTAGGATTGTAAAGTGCAAAAGTACTGAACATTTATTATGTTATGATATTGAATCAAAATGACCCTTTCGATCCAAAGCAACCTCTGAAATCGCTTTAGAATATATGTAGTGCGGCACTTCAAATGTTTTTGGCTGGCAAGAAACAAAGATGCCTTTCTTATTATCGATGTAATCGATGGTTTTGAAGCTATTATGAAGTGAATTACGAGTCAAAAGTACCATAGCTTGTTTTTCTGAAGGTAATAACGCTAATTCACATATTATTGGCCTTAATAAAAAACGTCCTCCTATTAAAATGTGATGGTTAGCATATCTCATGTCACCAGGGATTTCCTACAAATAAATGACATATTCATCACAGGATGCAAGGCAACTTGAACCTCTTACTAAGCACCAACAAGGGCAGGCAACCGGCGTATATATATATATATATATGCACTCCTAAAAGCCATGCAAATGATGTACTTCGAGGCGACGTCATGGCACTTGTGTGGTTTACAGGCCCAAACAGCAATGAATCAAGAACGTTTATGCTAAGACACACGTGTGTAAAATATAAGAATGGCTGCAAATAGGTTTGATTGTCCTACAGCCAGTATTATAAACAGCACCTAGAAATTTTTCATCATTGTGGGTTAAATTGCTGTAGCTGATATCAATGCTGGATCCTTGGGCATCAGCAGCTTGTCAATTATGAGGAATCGCGAATGATGAATAGATAAACAGGATGTTGGGGCGCCTTGTAGTCAAAACCGCTTGGTCGTGCCTTGCTTCGCTGTCGTTTGGCAGAGGGTCGAAGTTGCACTGCTCGTATTATAGAGCCAAAGAAGAGCCTTGCAATAACACCAGTAGAAAACACACATTTCTTGAGGTCTTTAGACACACAAGTTCTTGATATATTTGTATATCAGTAAGATAAACCTTTCAGAGAAGGTTTTGCTTGAGGGATTACCTACCATTAGACCAGTTCTTATGGAAGACAACAGCAGCATGTGTCACGCAGAAGGATACTGTGAAGATAAGGACAGAAACCAAATAGTGTGAGATCTATAATACCATCTTTTGCGATATATCAGCCAAGCTACCTCGCTTGAGAACACCCATAGAATTATTTGCTATTATGCTCATGTCACTGAGAGAGAGCACCGTGCCATCTAGCATAAACGAAAGTACTCTGATTTTAAATATATCATCTTTTGTAGACACTTACCAAATGTAGAGAAACTGAAAGAAAAAGAAAGAAGAGGAGTGGCATGTGTTTGTACTTTTTGGATCACTAATTGACTGAATCAATGAAGCTTGCCAAAAGCAAAGAAAGAAAGAAAGAAAGAAAGAATCAATTTTGTAAGCTATGATAGTACTGTAAGGCAGTACACCATAGCCCTTACATAGGGCAATGTGAATAAGCATATGCTACTTGGTAGTGTTGCGGTTATTGATACTAGCGCTTAGGTATATGATCTACAGTATAAACAAAACTAGCCGATCTATCTCGCTACGCTCGATGACGGCGTCGCCCTGTGGGCTCTCGCCAAAGACATTTTAAGTCGGATATTATGACATTTTGGTATATCAAGTAGATTTTAAACAACCAATTATTAGTTAGTAAAAGAAAGGTTATATCAGAGCCAGGAGGAGGAGGAGAGGAGGTATCTCCCTCAGCATCCTTTTTGCTTACACTGATATCAAACAAAGACTATTATTGGGACAATATGAAAGAAAATTCTAGTTTTATGCAGCATCTGTACATCACAATCGCCATTTTCTGATAATAGAATTGTCGTATCATTCGCTGCTGCTGATGCTCTTAATAGATGGGGAATTAAGCTAGCCATAAGTAAATATAGGACTTGTGTAAGATCTATAGCGACTTTTTTGAGATATTGTCATTGTAAAATACACCTTTATGAGGCAAAAGCCCCCCAAAATAAGTATTTGTGCTAAGCTATTGTCCTTTCAATTCCATGATCCTCATTTAATCAGCTTCACAGTCATCGTTGTCATCAACAGAAAGGCATTTAGGTCAGCCAGCAGCAATGCCGCCAAAACTGATTCACACTCAGTGTATATTTTCTGTTCAAGATTGGACAGATTTCGTCCTTTTTCGACTTCTTTCATCTATTTTGTGATATTCGACAATATGAACTGTGATGATCACCCTACGCTTCCTAATACATTCTTGAAGCGCTTTTCAAGGCGCATCCGATGGTACTAGTTGTAATAGATGTTTTGAATGACATTACCGAGCAATTTAATAAAAATTGAAACGAGGTTTTTAGCGAAAATAACCATACTTTGCATATAAAGACCTCATAAAAGTGGTTTCAAAGGTTACTTTGGATTGAGAGAAACCTTTTGATTTAATATATACCATAGTAAAAGTCTTCGTCTTTTGGTCGATTTTCTGCCATGTCTTTTTTTGGCCCAAAAAATTGAGCAAAGGTGTCAGAAAGTTACTACTACTCAAGTACAATTGTTGGTGTCATTCCGGTGACTCAGAAAGGTCTACATGTCAAGATATGAAGGCTTGAAAGCTGTTAAATTTGCCTATGTATTGCTTTATGGCTTTTATTTACACGGCATGAATCACATCTTTAGTACTGTAATTTATTGGAAGGACAGTTCTGTAGCTTGCGCAATTTTTAATTCGAATAGGAAGCATATTGATTTTGGTAAAACTCTTTCATGCAAATTTTGATGCGATATGTTGCTGGTAGGTTTATTAACAATGGAAATGAAAACCCGAATTTGCTGCTTGTATATAGTGAAGATGTATACAAGATTATTATTAACAGCTATTGTTCTGTATGATGTACTGAAGCTTGCAAGTAATATTACAAAATAACCAAGGTACAGATTTTCATATCAAGAAGTCAACATGTCGGTCTGTAACAATCTAATCCATTTTCTAAAGCATGGATGGGATCATCAAGCCCCATCGTCTCATTTGCTTATAGTGGCAGCCAGATCTAAAGCGTGTACATTTGCTTACACTCGTCTGGTCTCACTGCAAACACTTGGCATGTAGCGATGATATCATATGTTGCGCTATACATATGATGTTGACACTGGATGACGATGGCAAACTTCTAATGGCTTCCATCGATTTCTGGAGCATTACATTGGAGTATCTGATACAATGGCAATAGTTGACCACCGTAGCAGCAAATGCCAATCAACGTGTAGCTTTTTTTTTTCGTTTCAATTTTGATACATAATGCCTTGTAACTGAACATTAAAAAGATAAATGGGTAAAGATATACATTCATCTCAATTTATTTATCCAGTCCCGACCTAATCTTGGTGTCATAGATAGAGATGCATGTGTACTGAGAACCACAGCAACTACAATAAAATGCCCTTAATGAGTAAAGATTTTATTGTTCAAAGGCCGGTATTGTTAGTAGTTGTTGAGTTAGTTGCTGTGCAACTTGTGGGTTCGAGTGGAGTCCAACATTGGAAGGCATGTTGAGATGCCATTCGAAAAATGCATGCATGCTTTCTGATAGCAACGCATCAGCAACGTCCAGCTGAACTGTGCGCATACACACCATGCTTTTGACAAGCAACCCAAGAGTGATCTCATGGATAGCATTTGACATAACGCAGACGTCATTTTACCAAGAAAAGCACAGAGTAACATTTGGTGTTTTGAGCTTAACATTAATGCATTGCTCCGCTCGGCTGTCGATTGTCATACAAATATAAGCAAGCTTTTTCTCCTCCGGCTCTATTTTATCGACCCCCTTTTCTCTTTCTTTTTTTTCTATTTCTGAATGGGTGCCACGGATAGTAAGCTTGCCTTTAGAAAAGGCGTATTTCGTCTATTCGAAGAAAGAGTAAGTCGGTCTATTTTTTGAGCATGTTTGCTTCTTTTTTCAACTAACAACATATGCTACAGCATGTTCCCAAATCAGCCGATGACTACTGGCCTTTGGTAAGTGATTGGTATCTTGTAGATGTAGACGGAAACAAGATATTGATGTGTGCTGCTGGACATAGTTTTGGACACTACCGGAATCTGTGGATGATGTGTATACGTTGGTGGGCTCAAGTGACATCAGAAAAGCAAGAGACACTGCAATCGAAAATATCGAGACATTGATAGACAAGGTGAGGAGAATACATACAGCTTTGAAACAAAGAACAAGCGTATTGATGAGTGCCTATACAGCTAATAGAACAAATGACAACCTTGTTAAATGCCAACGCAACTACACAGACCATCCAGCTTTTAAACTGCTGTCGCGTTTTGACCCGAATCATACCTTTCATTTTCGAAAGCCCAGAATGTGCCGAATGGGAAAACAAGTTTTTCTGGACACCACGTCCATTAGATAAGAATGCCATTTTGCCCTCTCCCTCCAATGCCACTCCATCCGATCAAAAGCAAGCAACAGCAGCAGCAGTACCGACAAACCACTTGCTACCTCCTCGAGGTGAAGTCCTCATGAATTGTAAGTACGAGATGTAAAAGGGAAGAGGGGGGATGCCAAATACTGATACATGGATTCCTCAACAGTGACATTACAATCCCTATTCCTGGCTGGTTTTACGTTGCCTCATGCCATGGGTACAGCAGAGAGCAAAGTGAATTATGTGATTTGGGAAACGGGCGTTGGATCATCGACGCCTATTGGATCTTCGCGGGACAATGATATGAATAGAACAGAAGTGCTTCGTCTGCTCACTGTGCTCTTATCGAAGTCTATGTATCGATCTCCATCTCATATACTGGCCAAGAAGGATCGATGGTTGCAACACATGGTGTCTCGGACAGAGAGGAAAGTGGTGCTTGCATTTCTGTGCAGTATGATTAATACTTCATGCAAGTTTAACCCCATGGGCTGGACAGCGGTTCCTTACAATCACATTGTATTCACTGATCCTAGAGAACAATTGGTGGCCCTATGCTTACGAGTTTTATTGATCGTGTTGGATTATCGCCCACACACTCCCAAGGAAAAACAACGGCAACATCAACATGAGAGCGTTGCTGAATCTGCAGAACAAGCACAGCGAGAAGACGATACTCTAGTGGCTCGCATCGACGCTATTCAAGTGGAAGATCACCATCAGCAACCGCCACAATCATCACACACAGAAACCATGGAAAACGCATTTAGATACTATCTATCCAAATTACATAGAGCACAGGACTTCCAGTTCTTGATTGATGGTATCTACCGAATTTTGAGCACCCCTATGCAGGTAAGATCACGATGCTAGATCGAGATTTGCTTGCTAACTAAAGCCGGCCACTGTACAGACCCTCAGCAGTTACTTGCCGGGATCGTCCAAAAGAGTGAGATACCATGTGGAAATGATGATGTTGTGTTGGAAGTTGTTGGAAATGAATAATGTAGGTGTGATGGCTAGAACATGTACTATATAGCACCGTATTCATGCTCTCTCCGAATGATAGAGATTCAAAAATTACCTGATGGAAACCGAGAGAGCGCTAGATTTGATGGTTGTTTTACTATTCTATGCAAGTGAGAACAAGCTGGATCCTTGTAAGTGGCATAAACAGCGCAGTGTGTACAGTGACTGATAGATTCATGTATAAAGCTCAAGTGGGGCTCGTTCGCATGTGTTCATTCATTCTACAGACATTATCATCCGACAGAACATTCAGCGTCAAGCTAAACAAACCCTTTGATGGACATGTATCACTCCCTACCAACAGCAAAATCCCCAACTTTCAAGGCTCTTATGCAGACTATCTTATACTGGTACTACTCAACATATCATCCGCCATTGTCCCAATGATTATTTACCATGTTGACATAGACCATTTTTTCATTGATTGCATCCTCCAGAGGCACTCTATCCACGCTCTACCCAGCACTCATCAAAACCATTGCCAATATTTCACCTTACCTGAAAAACGTCTGTCCACTGACATGCAGCAAATTGCTAGCACTGTTCAGCTCCATGTCTGCACCTGGATTTTTGTTGGCTGATGAAGCAAATCACCACCTTGTCGATTATTTGCTGGAGGCGTTTAACAACATTATACAATTTCAATACGAGAGTAAGTAAGGTATAACTACATAGCTATAACATAACGTCTAAGCTGCTTTACTTTCCTTGACAGACAACATCCACTTCATCTACTCCATTCTTCGAAATCATCAAAAGTTTGAGAAGCTAGCTGAATTTAGCTTGGACAATGCCATGATTGAAATTGAAAGATTACGCCAAGCCAAAGAGAGTCGACTTTTACAGCAGCAACAGCAACAGCAACAGCAACAGCAACAGCAATCGCTACAAAGGCAATCGTCTGTCGATCCATTACCTGATCCCACCAGTCCTGGCAGTTTGTCTGAAAAGGCCAGGGGTAAACTACCTGAAGGATCTCTATCGAGAACTTCCAGTGAATCCAGTTTGCAAAACACAGCAGCAGGCCCTCAACGCCAATCCAGCGTCTCCTCTGTGAGTTCAATGAGCAGCTTCTTGCCTGGCGCCAAAAACGGGTTCATTCCTACAGATGACTGGGTGTATCATTGGCACTCAAGACTTCCTTTGGACACTACAGCGACATTGATCCAAGACCTGCTGCCAAAGATTGAAAATATGCAGTCTGCAACAAATGAGCAAATCATGGATACGCTACGACACATCTCCATCTCAGAAATACTACCGCCTGCACATCCTGTTGTTATCCGCAAGTTTCAATGGAGTGAACCACTTATTATCTGGTTTCGCAGTATGTTGTGGGGACAAGCCTACGTTTCCTCAGTGTCAAATTATGGCCCATGGAACAACACACATGTCAAATTATTCCACATCAAGCAACAGCAGCAACAGCATCAACAGACACAACAAGCACCATCGCAAGATGGCAATGTAGGCTCTGTCACTTCTCCTCGGTCTTCCTTCACTTCCAGATGATAATAATAAAACCTTGTAATATATGTCTTTGAAATAAATACACACACTAGCAAAAATTCTTGCTTTTATTTGTGTTGTTGTTGCTCGTAAATCTTGCGTTCACATTGATCAATCGTAGCTAAGTTAGAGCCCATCTTGTTCATGGTTTCTTGATATTCATCTTCTTCAACAGAGTCATACACAATACCACCACCAGCTTGTAAATAAGCAACACCGTCCTTAAACAACATGGTGCGAATAGCGATACAGGTGTCTAAATCACCAGAATAGTCGAAATGGCCAACCACACCAGCATAAATACCTCTCTTTTCCTTTTCCAACCCACGGATCAACTCTACAGCTCTAATCTTGGGTGCACCAGAGACAGTGCCAGCAGGGAAAATGGCACGGAAAGCGTCAAAGGGTGTTTTATCATCACGCAATTTACCAGACACGTTGGACACAATATGCATGACATGAGAGTAATATTCAATCTCCATCAATTTATCCACCTTGACAGTTTCAGGCTTACAGACACGGTTAATGTCATTGCGACCCAAATCCACCAACATGACATGTTCTGCACGCTCCTTGGGGTCCTTTAATAAATCGTCGGCTAATGCTTTGTCTTCCTCTGGTGTCTTTCCACGCTTTCTGGTACCGGCAATAGGATGTGTAAAGGCGACACCATCTTGTACCTTGGTCAACATTTCAGGTGAGGCGCCCACGACGGTGAAATCTTTGAGGTTCATGTAAAACATATAAGGCGAAGGGTTCAAAGATCTTAGATGACGATAGACGTTGAAGGGGTGTAAATCGGTAGGACGTGCTAATCGTTGTGAGGGTACTGCTTGGAAGATGTCGCCTTCTTTGATGTGGTGCTTTAGTTGAGTGACAAATCCCTTATATCCAGCTTCACCGACATTGGAAACAGCTTCTTTTCCCAAGGTAACAGGACCCTGAGGAACAGAAGGAATGCGATCTTCGGTCAATAAGGACAGTGTTGTTTCAATTTCTTCGGCTGCTTTGGTATATTCACGTTCCACTTCTTTGGGATCGGTCGCATCGCTGCGGAAATGGGACACCACATTGACCACTTGACGAACACGATCAAACACAACCAATGTATCGCACATCATGAAAATAGCGTCAGGAATGCCGATGGGATCACTGACTTCAGTTTTGATACTGGGTTCAAAGTACTGATAGCAATCAAAGCCAACATAGCCAACAGCACCACCTAATGTTTACAGTGTAAAAGAATGGACATTTGGCATTGATTGAACACTCTAGACACTAACCTGTAAAAGTAGGAAGACCGGGCATTTTGACGTACTTGATATTTTCTAATTCCTTTTGAACAGGGACAAGAGGGTCCCCATTCACGGCTTCATTGGGACCCACTCGGATGAGTTTGTAGGGATCTAGTTTCAATTCAATCAGCAAACACTACCTAAACCCTCTCACCACACACACACACACACACTTTACCAGAGCCAATAAATGAGTAACGACTGATATTTTCTCCACCTTCAACAGATTCAAACAGAAAAGAATAATCGCAACGGTCAGCTACCTTGAGGTATGCAGACACAGGTGTCAAAAAATCAGCTTCAAGTTCAGCATAGATGGGGATGGTGTTGCCTTGACCGGAAGCTACAATGGCTTGCACTTCTTCAAGAGTAGGTTTTAATTTTAATGACATGTTTTAGATCAAATTAAGGTTGTGATTATATCAGAAGGAAAGGAGAAGAAAAGAAGAGGGGCAAGAGATATGAAAATTTATACACATTTAAGCAAAAAAAAAAAAAAACCAGAAACTCAGATCTCAAAAGGATATCATTTCATCCTATGGGTTACAATGAGTCATTTCCTTAATTCACGTGAGCAAGCCCTTCATTCAAATCACTATGACCATCTACACATCGATACCAACATTCGTAATCACTTGTTTGGCAAAAATAATGGATTTATTCTAATAAAACTATACATTACATTTGCTGACCGGCAATCAGGATTTAAGGCCGAGTTTGTAAGCAAGGGCATAACTGGGTGGATCATTTGCTTGAATTGACTCATTCTTACCGAGGTACACAGAAACCCGTTTTTTGAGTTCAGCGATCACTACCTCCTTAATCTTGCACTTTCGCCTACTAACTGATAGCCAATCCCAGCATACATATTTTTGACAGCTGGATTGCGTCCTTTGACACCAAACAAATTGACTGATCTACGGTTCTGTAGCAGCTTTTCCGTCAATAAACCAACACAGACAGCACCATATCCTCGGCTACGGCATTCCTTTGGCGTGTAGACCATGGCAAGTGAGCATTCAGTGTCGGTAGGTCGTTTCATCCAAGACATGCTGACAGGAACACCACGAACATACAAGATGTAGGCAAATTGGTTTGCTATTGCTTCGCGCACTATTTCCTCAGCATCAGGCAAGGCTGCGTTATCCATGCCATCCTCAGTCGTCAAATGAACAAAGAACCCTTGTGTCCATTTTGTCAGTAAAGCCACTTCATCCAATGTCGCCACCTTCAGTTCCGTATGTGTATCTCTTGCTGTAGCGAGTAAACCAGGGGACCAAGTGACCTTTTGAGATTCATATGCCCAGACCTGATCTGTGATGCACATTTTCAGGTTGTGCTTTGATAATTGTTCATGCAAACGATGAATACTCGGTTGGAATGCGTGTACAAATTTGATATTTATGTGAGTACCAGTAGACACCAAATCATCAACTAGTAGATCGATGGCATCCATATTCTGAGTCCATGAGCCATAGAGCATGGTATTATGCTTGCAATTGACTAGTGCAAAGACAAGCTGGCCTTGATCGTCCCAAACAGCACTGCAGTAACCATTCTCTCCTCCTTCTTTGATCTCTGCTTGAGCCATGACTAATACAAAGATGTTCTGGAACTCATGGCGACGCAGCGATGGCTCTGTCTCTTTCAGAAAGGCGCTGGTGGACGTGTATTGTTTCTTTGTTAATGTAGTTGTCATAATCAGAGGTTAGAAATGCGTGCATTTGCAAATCCAGGGCACACACTTTATATGTTGGTGGTGCGAAACAGTGAGTCACTGTGAATATGGCCAGCATGACTTCATGTTACATTGATGAGCCTCGTCAAATGATATTCATGCGCAGTAATAGCTAAAATCAATGTCTTTAAATCAACATGTCATGAATAAATCAAAGCCGGTATCTTGAGCGTTTGTTAATACATCACACATCAAAGAATTATATTATCAGAAATTAATTACATCAATACTATAGCCAAGCAACACATCGCTAGCAAAGCACACATCCCTCTCAATAGATATACTATTCTTCCCTTTTCCATCCTCATCCATTCCCTTAACAATCCATACTAAAGTACAACCATGCGTTTACTTGTAATTTGAAACGTTTATTTCAAGCTACAACTGATAAAAAAAAACGAGCATTTGGAGACAATGTCAAGAAATTTACTTTCTTTGCTTTTGGGCAAGGAAGTCAGAGAACTCTTGATAAGGACCCTTAACGAATTCGGACTCTTCCCAGAGGTCAGGAGTCAAGAAACCGTAAGTGTTACCAATGGCAGCGAAGGTAGCCTTGACAAAGTTACCGAGAGTACGGGTAGAACCACGAGAAGTGGTATAACAGTCAGTGACACCAGCCAATTGGAGAACACGCTTAGCAGTGGGAGAGGCAACGATACCAGTACCACGGGGAGCGGGAACCAAACGAGCCATAACGGAACCACAACGACCAGTGACCTTACAAGGGACAGTGTGAGGCTCACCAAGGTTGGAACCCCAATAACCACGACGGACGGGGATAATGGCAAGCTTGGCAAGGATGATACCACCACGGATAGCAGTAGCAACTTCCTTGGCACACTTGACACCCAAACCAACATGACCATTTTCATCACCAATGACAACGAAAGCCTTGAAACGAGTACGTTGACCGGCAGTGGTTTGCTTTTGAACAGGCATGATCTTCATGACTTGATCAGTGAGCTTGGGAAGGAAGTAATCAACGATTTGATACTCCTTGATGGGGAGAGAGAAGAGATAGATTTCTTCAATAGACTTGATCTTGTTAGCCTTGACGAGACGACCGAGCTTGGTAACAGGAACCCACTCGTTCTTCTCCTCTCCACGACGGCCACGACCGCCACGGGGTCCACCACGACCACGACCACCTGTTGTATATGTTAGTATTCTATTCTACATCTCTCTGTCGTCCTTTATATCAACGTACGTCCAAATCCACGTCCTATAATGTAAAATGTCAGTACATCATGATTCAACTGTATATATCCAATCCAACAACGTACCACGAGAAGCACCGGCAGAAGCTGAGTCGGCCATACTATTCAAAAAAGGATCATGGCATTAGTATCCATCTGTCAACATCCATACATTGCATTCATTCATCCATCTTTTATCTACACTGTGGATGGATGGATATTCATCGCAATTTTGGCAAGGTATACTTACTTTAATTTATATTAATAAAGGAAGAAAGAGAATTGATTCCTCACCCAGTTGATCACCTTATACCGCCCTTTCCTCTTCCTACTCACACTGTCATTCATCTCCAGCCTTTTGGGATGAGCCCCCAAAAAAAAAAAAAAAAAAAAAAAAAAAAAAAAACTGCAATAAACTGCGAACCGGATCTGATCGATTCCGACTCGAATATGAGCACGTTTATTACACATCAGAGTTGTGTCTACCTCTTTGTCTATGATGGCTAGCTAATGCAATTCTTTGAAAAGCCCAAATTACACATAATCTGACAAGTTCAAATGCCAATACAAAGATAATGACCCAAAATATGAACCAGCCAATGACACTCCCATTCACAGTGAGCAATTCTGGATGACAAAATGTGCCTTGAAAGCTGTACATGCCCTTGTCGTCGTTGTAAAACATGCCAAAGTAGTCTCCCAAATATGTCAATGGAGTCAATGTCAAATAAGAAGCTGGTGAATCAACGTAAACTCGAGGGCGAGTACCTGCAGGATCAAACAGGAAAGATGTACGTCTATTCCGGATCTCTTCCATAATGCCTGCACGACTCATGTTGGCTGCATTGACCGTCAACCATACTTGGGCACCTACAGAGGGGTGATGAATATCCATCCCTACCATCTGGATCAGATTTCTTTGCGTTGCAGCTTGATAAGATGCCATGTCAAATGTTTCTTGATTCACCACTTCAAATCCGTCCACTCCCCAGCTGATCAATTGCTCAATACTAGGATGATTTGGTAAGCGAGCTTGTTGTCTTCCGCCCTCTATACGCACGCTGTAAGTAAGAGCGCCATGACATTGAACAAATGTGTGCACTTACGAGTTGTGTTGCTCCAAGGAATATGATTGACAATGACTAGACCACCCAATTCGTGCACCCTATTGATGACTCGCTGCAATTCTTCATCTGATGGCACTGGTGCTGTTGCTGCAACTGTTTCGTTGATATCAATGAAATTCATGTGTATTCTGCAACATCTACATCAATAGAGGTTAGCCTACATGTCACTGGGTGTTTATCTGTACAGCCTTACGTGTACTCCATGCCTGGAATAACCACAATGGAATTATTATACTCTGCTAACGCCAACTTTTCAGCTGCGAGGCCACCTTCAATGGTATTATGGTCGCTATCGTAGTTGCGTTAGTTTTGATGACAATGAGCCAAACAATGTCAACTCACGTAACCATCACCGCATTATATCCATTTGCTGCAAACACAAGCCATGTTAGTTTCAGCTTTGTACCTTGTACTACTGAACATTTTAATCACCTAAATGCCAATCTAACAATTGTCGAACGCTCATTTTGCCATCACTGTATGTCGAATGTGCATGACCATTCATCAAGATGTTGTACTGGAACGTTGTATTATAGGGCGTCAGATAATCTCTTGGGTTGATTTTCCAATCAAACTTGAGTTTTGAGAAATCCTCTGGTTTTGGTAAGTCGTCTGTATATCGAAGCCCTATGCCTACAGCAATCAACACACCGAGAATGACTATTAGAGAAGCAATGCGATACAGCAATCCCCAAAAGTAGTCTGAATGCACACGAAAAAAACATTTTAATCGTTCTCTAATGGGCATGTTGTGTGGTGGTGATGAATGTATAGATAAGCTACCATCTTGTATATGCAAAGAGGTGGTGGATTTATTCACAGGCTCGTAGTATTTGAGGGGCACGTTGCTGTTCATGTCTTCAGCGGGTATTGTCGGCGTAGATGTTGTTGCGTTGGTAGCTAAAGAACCGTTGTCGTTATTGGTACTTGTCGCTTCTCGTCTGTGCATTTTGTTTCGAAATGTCTGAGAACTAAACCATGATAAAAGCCAAGCACTTGAATATTTGAATTTCAACCTTTTTTTCTATAAGCACGAGTATAGTATTAATAACGTTCTACAATAGTAAAGCATTCCTCCGAGTGGCTTATGAAAAGCTCATGAGGCGAGAAGGAGCATTACAGCATGGTTTGCTTTTCGCAGCATGGATAATAAAGTATATTTGCAAGTGCCATGTTATTATTAAAGTTGTATGATGATCTAGCAGCAAAACAAATTTAATTACCAGCAGTGCTACAGAGTCGTCATTTGTGGGGATACAATTTCATCGTTTGCTAGTCTGAAGGCCATTAACACGAGAAACAAAGCTCGTTCATATCCTTCTGATGAGTGGTTTATAGTTCAATCACTACTGTAACGCAAAAGATAAAAGGAAGGCACTGTGAATCCAACCTTTATTTATGTAGAAATCTGAGGTAAAGGATATCATGATGTCAAATAACTCATCGCTTGTATACTGATAATTGGGCCATATTATCTCTTTGTTAAGACGTACTTGCTTGGTGTTGATTAAAACATATGTTTAACTTTGAGTAAACTCGATAATCCAAAAGGATGATCATAATAGTGCAAATGGCAATACCATTTGATCAATCAAGAAGCCATAACTAGGCCGCCTAGATTTCTGTCGCTTGTTTTTGAAGGAGGGAGGATCAGCCTCTCCCGCAAATTCTTCCCTATTGCTGGCTTCGTTCGTGTTCTGGCACCATGTTCTTTTTTTTCAAGTTTTGGCAGGATTTTATTGTAATGGTATATAGTACATGATATAAATTCTTTCCGTAAAAGCGCGCGTAACAACAGCTTTGTTGGAGGAGGGTCACCTTTTTTGTGTCTCTTTCTGATTCGTCTGAAACTGACAGCATAGATCGAAGCTTGACTAATTCATCCCACAGATTGCTATTGATCAGATCATGTGCGATGGAATTAACTCTGTACTCATCTTGACAAATAATAGTTATAATAGCAAGCGTTCTACTGCTCTGAACGAGAATTCATGGATATCTAAATTCGTTAAGCCTGGAAAAAACCATGCGATTCTGATGAAAACATTGTTTTCCAGCTGAATAAAACCTGGGTATAATTTAAAGGAGAATCTAATGATACAGTTTTAAGTGTATCGATCGAAGCTATTAGAGTCTCTGATAGGATGGTTTTTGGGTTTTTTTTTTTGGTTGTTTTTGATAGATCATCGAGCTTCAATCATCATCAAAGCTTTACTTGCGGTACTTATCAAAGTATAGAGCAAACAACATCCCATCAAATGGTTACTGACTCAAAGCCCTACTAGTATGGCTCTATCTTGAGATATCAATAGTTTGTACCTTCAAAAAGTCGTCATCTAAGTTTTTGCATTACTATCACAGGCAAATTTTGGCCAGAAATTGATGATTTCGCATTAGGAGTGCAGTAAAAAGGGGGTAAAAAAGCAGGTAGAATACTGTTAAAATCCTTCTTTATTCGAAATTAGGATAATGTGCAATAAAATGTATATTCTACGTCTCTATTTATATTATTTGGTTTATATCTCTTATCTGGCAGCAGTTTAGTAGTTGCCAGTGATTCCATTACTTTATATATTTTTGTTGGGTCATTTAGTTGTTGATCTGATGGATCAAGAACGGTATTTCAATATATGGTTTTTGAATCATGCGTAAAGAATAGCTCTTTATTGTTGAGCCTGTATCCTTTTTAGGTATATTTATGTTACAACACATTACAATACCCTTGACATTTACTTTAGTATCTGTCATCTCTTATCTTAGAGCATTTAACCCTTGCTATCATCATGCTAATACTATTATTATGCATGCCTATCTGCTGATGGTAGCATGGTTTGATTGAGATGACATTTATTTTGGGTTTTGTTTATGATGGGAATCTAGTCTAGTTCACTTCAAGGAGGTTTTTGGTCCCAACTCAAGAAACAAACATTGTATTTAGATAAAACCAAAGTTATTTAATAGCCATACTTTGACTCTATCATGATGTAAAGTCTTTGGGCCCCAAATATACGTTCCCGTAATGATTTTACTCGAAATCCTGTATTTTACAACCTTTAGGCAAAAACGTTGTCAAACAATTCCACACAGAGTTAAATCAGCCACGTAGCTTCTTGGTACAGAATTGAAATATGCATCGGATGGTATCACATATGTAAGTGATGCTATATAGCTTGTTGTAGAAGACAAATAAGCTTGCTTTCATATATTTTTAAGGTTTTATAATAGGTTTAACACATAGAAGGCTTTAAGTTGTATCTATTCCGCTATCCTTTTATTACAAACATAAACTTATTATAGATGACAGCTCAATAGTAGATCAACTAGCTAGAATCCTTCGGTTTCTGAACCTCTGAGCCAATCAGATTGCTCGAAAACTCCGCTGACCTAAAAAAAAATTTGCGAGGGTTTCCCCCTGTTTTGAGGTGAGGCAAAATTTTAAGCGCCGCTATATATAGCAATATAGCTGCTGCTATCATCAAACTTTCCTCAGGTGCTAGAGCATGCCTTACTTACACCACCTAGCTTTAAATCCTGGCATTGAGACCCTCAATCATCACTAAAGTAAGTAGCAATAACCAAGTGGAGGCGGCCTATCTACCTCCTAGCCTCGGATAGAATCTTGTTGAGCTTCAGTGATAGGCACATCCACCACAACGTAAAAAAGTATGTTTCAAAGAAACATAAACATAATAAAAGAAAAGAACATATTACTATACGAGTATAGTAGTATGTAGGCAAAAAAGAGACGCTCACACGAAGCGAGTCAAAGAAAAGCGTAACAAACACAACATCAAAGATGTTTAAAAAAGCTCGTTGCTGTTGCAACAGAATTGCATTCATGAGCAACGCGCATGGTAGTAATAGTCGGATGTAAAGCAACATGATACATACACACAACTGCAAAAGCAACAGTGGTATTATAAGTTTGCGATACAACATAATGACTAATATTGTTTCATGTAAAGCTACAGAGGAAACACTACCAACAAAAGAAAAAGAAGAAGAAAAAAGCGCAACAAGACAAACATCATGAATGCAATATCACGAGAAAAGAAGCAATGATATAAGCGTTCAAAGAAGTTATATATCATTACGACCAGAAGAAAGAAGATACTTACCACTTACCACAGCCACAGATAGACCAGAGGAGTACAGGCAATTACCGGAGATAGACCATAGAACAAACATACAACAAATACAGTAGACCGGGAGAGACCATTTTAGCAGCAGCAGCAGCAGCAGCAACACCAGCACCATAGACAAACCAAAGAACAAGCGCCATCAGTAGAGACCAGACAAAGACCAAAGAAGCTATTTACGACTTATCTCCATCACAGATAGACCAGAGAATATGCAATCACTGAATATAGACCAGAGAACGAGCATGCACCAAAGACAGTAGACCAGGAGAGACCATAATATTAGCAGCAGCAGCAATACCAGTACCATAGACAAACCGAGAAACAAACGCCACCAGCAGAGACCAGCAGACAAAAGCCGAAGAAGCAATCACCAGACATGAGAAACCAAAGAAGCAGGCAGCAGAGAAGACAGAGAAGGAATGGCAGCAGCACTCACTCAAACAAGCAAGAAATTATTAAAACCTAATAAACAAACTGAATTAGTGTTAATTCTATGCCTTCCGATGCTCGTTATCGAATGGTACGTAACATATTCCACTTCAAAGAAGCAGTTTCAAGTACTCTTAACAGTACAAGACAGAGTTATCGGAAGCTAGAGTGTTATTATCAATCAAACGGTCTCCAAATCCACCATGGTTTGATACTAAAACGCGTTTTGCAAAAAAGATAAAAAAACGAATGCATGGAAAATGAGAGAGCGCCATAACCGACGTCACGGCCAGTAGATCTGGTCTCAGCCTTCTGCCGTGGTGGCAGCCGCAACTGCTGCATTTTAATTTGAAATTGTGCAGTGGATAGTTTCATGTTCAAATTCGACTTGATTTCACATTCCTTAAACATTTTTGCTAAATTTAACTATGAAAAATGTCGTTGTAATACTTTACTTTCTAATGCATTTATATAAAGTCAATTAAGGCGCGTCGAATGATGCTGATTACATTTAGCTTTCAGACCGAAAATAATGAGCAATCTGCAAAAATACGAAAGCAGGTTTTCTGTAAATATGGCAACATTTAGCATATGAAAGTCTCATAAAAAGAGCTTTCAGTACTGCATTCCATTTTGACGGTCGGTTTGGTCTAATATGTATCATAGGAAAAGTCTTCATTTTTGGGGTGAAAAACGCGATCGCTTGATTTTCAAGAATTTTCCCTTGCTAGTACTCATGTAAAAACGACAATTTTCATGAATTTGCAATGACCCAAAAAAATTAAGATAAAGCATCAATAATTAGAGCGTGACCAAGAAGAGACGTTTGGCCTTGCTCCGAGTGTCCACAACGCTTTGTAGCATGAGTTATTTGTGTTTGAAAATGACTAGATTTGGACAGAATTTGACCTAAAAATAACGCGTATTAGGTTGTGTTGCCAAAGAAGTAAATAGAGTAAGGCACTGTCTGATGTCTCTGATGTTCTGCATTGTAAGGAACTCGAGTCGTAAGTGATAAATGCCTCTATCAAGTTCTAAAGCTCGGATCTTCCTTTTCAAAATACGCGAATACAGTAATTTTAAAATTTGAGTGTCAATGATTCTTTGCAAATTTGAATCGAACAACTTTGCTCATATTAAACGAGGTGTTTATTAGGTTAGCAGGACACTTTCGGTGGTCGTCCAAAACGGAGATACCAAATCTAGTCGTAAAATCAGATTCAAAGTTTAGCGTCAATGTTGGACATCGATTACTTCACAATAAAGAAGTCGACGAAAATAATCAGTTGTTAACTGTATCTAAAACAAAGAACTTCTTCATTACAGAGGATTATCTTAATAGTAGCTTAAATATGATGGATTACTAGTCAATGATTAC